AATAATTCAGTTCATAATAGGACGACAAAAAAATTGTTCTGATCATCGTTATCGAAGTGAATAATCATTCGACTTTCCTGATCGGCAAAAAGTCATATTCAAAAGTGTCTAATGTCGGAGTCGCTCCAACGTCGGTTGCTCAAGTGTCGGTCGCTCAAACGTCGGTTGACGAAACATTTATAATGAAATAAAACATTATCAACATGTTTTTCGAATTTTTTATTTTGTTATTCATTTTCCTTTGACTGATATAAAGAATAATGTTATATTTAAACATAACGAGTGAATACACAAATACAGAAAAAAGAAATTTGATACGAGAAGGAGAAATCTTTCTATAAAAGTTTTTAGTCTTGTTTAGTGAAAATAACCAAGTCACACTTACCTCGAAACAGAGTAAAATGTACCACTCGTTGTGTTAATTGACATTAAATCGAATCATTGTATTGTTTGTGTTTAAACTAGTTCAAGATAATAGATGTTCATTTATTTTCAACTCTAACTGTACTATTTTTCAATTATATAACAGAAAAAAAAACAGAAAAAAAACAGAATAATAAGAATCACAGATAAAACAAACTATAGTAAAAAAGCATGTTAAATTGCTTGTCAATTAGTTCAATTTTTAATTCACCGAACGTTTTATTAGAGACATAATGATCAGACATATAAATCATGTATTCTCGAAAATAGAAAAGAGGTTTATTAATAAAAGTAATTAATAAATAAAAACAACAAATAAAAAACAAAAACCAATATGTTCTTCAATAGAAAGAGAGACTTTTAAATATCTGATTTTTTTATGCATTTCATAGTAAAGAACAAATTAAAATAAGTAAAAAAAAACAGTAGTGCACCAAGTTAATCTGACCAAATGTGTATTAGAACCGAAGGAAGAGAATGTATGTACACATAAGATATGTCATCAAAAAGTAAAAAACAGGAATAATTTAACAAAAAAAAACAACTAATAAAACAACAACTAACAAAATGTTTTTATAGACATACAAACATGCTATTTTATTTAAGAAAAAAAGTATATCGCATGCAAAATAGAATGTAAAGAGTATCTACAAAATTAAATTGCAAATAAATGTGTGATTAATGTCATTTTTAGTTTAAAAAAAAATGAACAATTTAGATAAAAACAAAAAACAAAAATATATCTGACTAGTTTACTCGATTTTAATAAGTGGAAGAATTGAAATAAACATTCATATTTAATAATATTTCTTCAACGATCGAGTAAATAATGCGGTAAAACTTCTTTATCAACTACAATATTATTAGAAATTTCAATTATTTGAAGATCATCATCTTCACTATCACTGGATAATATAATGATGTCTGATTCTACTTCTTTTACAAATTTCGATAATAATTTTGGACGATATTGTTGTATTCGTATTGGTTGTGCGTACGATATGGATTGAGAAACTAGAGGGTAATCATTGGATTTAGGGCATGAACTGTTTGTGTGCCAAAATTCTTTATAATTACTAATGGGAATAAAATATGGATGATTTTGAATAATATGTTGATGCTGATGTTGATTTTCTATAATTTTATTTTTAGAAAAATCAAATAGGTCAAAGAAATAATCAGATAGATATCACATCAAGATTTAAGTTTAATAAAATGGCAAACCTCCTACTTGCGGCTACGTTTTCGATATATTTGATGAATTGAAATAATCAATGAGTCATCTCTTGCATTTGGTCACTGATGTTTGAGTACGCAGATATTGGCTTAGACAGGTATCTTATTTTTTAATCACATATTTCTTGTGTAATAAGCCACTCAAACTACCCGCCTGCTTTTTGTTAGGAAGCATAGAAAATCTCATTCAGGAACTTTAGAAATTCTCATTTTCTGACATAATCTCCTCGTTCTTTTGATGTAAATATGTTTGGTAATAAAATATCCAAACATATTTCATTGTAGACACTGACACAAGCAAGGATACAAGTTACATTTAACACTACGTAACATTTTAACTACTATCGATTTCACAGTAAAAGATCTACCATTGTCTTTTGAATAACATTTGAAAGAAAGAAAATAGACAGATATTCTAGTCTTCGCCATTCGATGATCACGACTGGAACACGTGATTGCATGGATAAATAATTTGAAAATGCTTTGGGGAGTTCTTCAGAACATCAGATCGATATTCTGAAAGTTGTTATGAAAATACTTTTGTTTTCTTGGATGGCTCGATAGCCCAAAAAAGTGTTTCCTTGGGAATAAGAGTCATCCGAACTCTTCATCTATCATAGCTTTACCTTGGTATTGAATTGTCAAAATATACTCTATTTTACTACTGGAATATAATAAAAGTTTAAAAAAATAGAGAAGAAATTTTGGTCTATCGAGTCGTCGAAGAAAACGAAAATATTTCCACGACAACTTTCAGAATATCGATCTGATGTTCTGAAGAACCCCCCAAAGCATTTCTAAACTGTTTATCCACACAATCACGTGCTCCAGTCTTGGTTATCGAATGGCGAAAACTAGAATGTGTCTATTTTCTTTCTTTCAAACGTTATTCAAACGACTGATAGATCTTTTAATTTGGAATCGATAGTGGTTGGCTGTGTGTAAAAAAATAGAAAGTAGTCATTGAACGTGCAATATTCATCATAAACTAAATTGATTCTACTTGCGCATATTCTCTCTCTATATATTTGCTTACTGAAAGAAATATGATCAATCATTTGGTACCATATTTCGTTTTCTTTCTTTTCTGTGCTCAAAAAAGAAAAAGTTTTTCTTTCTTTTGTATATCACACACAGTATATATGCTCAGTTTTTTCTCTTGTACTTTTCTTGAAAACGATGCATCGAAAGCTCGAATAAGTCAACAACATAGATATTGATAATATCTTTAAACAATCTATATCGTAGCAGTGTTATACTCTCTATTTCTTTTATTATTTATAACTGCTCCTTCTAATTTTCTATATTTACTTACCTATTGTTGTTAGAGATACGACTTGCGATAATGATACAGTTGCTTTTTTTGTTTCTACCATTGTTATTTCGAGATGAGGTTGTAAAATTAAACTTCTATCATCATTATCGTCATTTCCAAGTGATGTAGCAGGAATAGATTCCAAACAGTTGTAAAGGGACTTGTTTTTCTTAATAATACCTAATGGAGATTCTACATGTGTTAAAGACTTATATGTTTGTTCGAATGTATCGATAACTGAAATTGAGTCTGAAGTAAAAATTTGATTAGCATTATTTTTGTTATTATTTTCTTCTTCATCATATGGATCATTCAATGATACTAAACATGGTGAAATATTTGAATTGACATCATTATTATGCTGTTGATACTTTAAAGTGACGAGTGAATATGAGCTGTTCTTTGGTTCATCCATTATTTTGTTATTCATATTGGATAGAATAGAATGGGATGAGATATCCTGTTCATCAGAGTGATTCATTGTTACATTCAGACTATCATCAGTCAATCTTTGAGAATCAACATCAGTTTGCTTCAGTTCCACTCGACTAGATAATTGATAATCATTTTCAGTACTTGGTCGATTTTTGTTCTCTAACTCATTTTGAACTTCATTGGTCTTTGCTATTAATAGATTATTTGAATGTTTGGTGTAATCATTATTTAATATTTTATTATCAAATGTATTATAAAGTATATTTTGATTATAAATCAAACAATCTTCTTCGCCGTACGATGTTTGACAAGTACTTGTGACAAGACTATTTAAAACAAATCCATCATAGTCAATATCATAATTTTCATATGCATAATAATCATCATGCAATAATTGAAATAAATTTTCTTCTGAAATTTGCTGTTCATTAGCAAGATCAAATCGTATGACATTTGGTGTTACTGATCGAGATAATGTTTGTGTTGAGTCGATTGAGGATGATGAAAGCAGAACTGATCGTTGATATTCATTTAATGGTGATAATTTTCGTTCAACAAGAGGATACAATAGGCCACTTACAGATTGATGATATTTCAAAATAATATTGAATAATGAATCAGTATCTGATTGTTCGTTGTCTTCAGTATTATTAATACTGTTGTTAAAATCTAATAGTTTATGTGAAAGATCAATTCCCATTAAAGGTGGAGGATAGGAACAGAAATCCTCTTGATTATCACTATATAATCGTATTTTCTCAGAGACTGGAGGGGATAAAAATAATTTTGTCAAATAATCTTCTTGAATATAATCCTGATCACAATCGTGTGTATATTCAGTATCGTAATGAATACGTTTTTGTTTTTGTAATAGTTGTGGATTATTACGACATACATATTTATCGTCCTTATCATATCTCTTTCGTTTGAGATTATTTTTATTTCTGCAATTATCGGTTTCTGTTTGTGAATATTTACGTTTTGATTGTTGTAAATCTGGACTTTTGCATGATTTATCCCTTAACAATTCATGATATTCAACGTTATTATCATTGTGTAGTTGATGTTCGTGTTGAGAGTATTGTTTAGATGGATATTGTCTATTTTGATAAAATGATGTTTGTTGTTTATACTCGTCAGTTACTACTTCCAATGTACTTCTTAATTCTGCACATTTGAATAGATTTATGCCATACCAATATGCTTTCAATCGATTCAAAACAATTTCTGATACCATTCGATGAGCAAGCGTATTCCAATGTATTCCATCATCTAAATTATTTAAATATATATTGTATGAAAGCCGATGGTACACAGTAGGCACTTTCGGCTAGAGTAGGCGGACATATGTTATAAAACGGTTATAAAGTACTGGATCGACAAAAAAAAGGCTATTTTGAAAAAAGATTTGATCGAAAATTTTCAAGGGGATCCTTACTCAGTTTTTTTCTAGTAATTTCTTTGTTTAAAAATCTTTAATGTTGTGTAGTATTCGATCCAGCTTCATGCGCTGATTCCGAATATAATCGTATTTTTTTTTAAAATATTCCTGAGCTGAGAAAAATGAATTTTACTGGGAAAAACCAAGGATTTTTGAAAAACCTATACCGGAGCCCAGGAACGTTTATGCTAATTGCACTAGCGTAGTATAGGTAGGGCAACTTTGATCGTATCTGAAACTGTGGAAAATTGAAGAACCTTATTATAATGGAGATGGCTGTAAGGAGAATAACTTGATCTGCTTCCAGAATAAGTGTTGTTTTACGTTTTTAGTTTGTTAGATTTAATAATAAAAATCTTTTTTATTCATAGTGCTACGTTCCACGCTAGTTACTGGCTAAGTATTTCTTAGAAGTTGAAATAAAAAAATTTATGTCATTAAATAGCGTGTAGTTCCAAGTGTATATGTATTATGAATCCATCCGTATTAAAATCTGGAAAAAGTTAACTTTCAATTTTTCGTCTAATGTCCGCTTGAATGCCCACTGTATGGTAATAATAGAGACATACTCACCTTTTCTTAGATGCAACATACGAAAAAATAATGAATGTGTATCAATATACATGACACCATATTTTGGACATAACTAAAACGAAATGTTTCATATTTGTCGAACAAAACTTTTCTACGTATTTGAAAACATGAAAAAATCAAACGTCAATTACTTTGAAAACAAAGTGTGTTAATATAATTTACGATATAAAAGTAATTAGACAAATGCCGTTCATTATTTCTACATGTTCCTGATGTGCTAAAAGGTCAGTTCTTTTGTCGATGGAAAGACCAAAGTCTGAGCTTCAAAAAACATCGAAAATAAAACTTTTTGTGATTGAGTTTGAGTGAGAAAAATTTTAAATACCAGAGAGTTATAGTAGTTTTACTACAGCCTGAAGAAAAAAGCACTATGTTGCATCGGAAAGATAAAACATCGAGAAAATCTGTTTAGTCAAGATTTAAACGATGTTAATAAAGACTATAGCTAATGTGAGTTTTTAAAGAATTGAATTTCGCTAATTGTGTTTTAACAAAAGACTAAAGGTCGATTAGTATATGAAAATCATTCATTAAGTCTAATTAACTGCGTTTTCAAAACTAACTTTGACAGTTTTTGGTGGAAAACAAAAGATAATTCATTATACCACATTTGAAAGGGTCATAAAAATGCTTCTGGCTTCTGTATAATTATATAATCTCGGACGTATTCTGTTACAGGAAAAACCTACAGTTGATGAGAGGGATACGTTAGAAGAGGATGAAAGTTACAAGGGCTTTTTTGGTGACATTTATTATTTGAAATTTTTCTCACTCAAACTCAACCACAAAAATTTTATTTTCGATGTTTTTTGAAATTCAGACTTTGGTCTTTCCAACGACAAAAGAACTGAGCTTTTAGCACATCAGGAACATGTAGAAATAATGCTCGACATTTGTCCAATTACTTTTGCATAGTGGATTGCAGTTTAAGGATACCCCCCCCTCTGTTTTGAAAAAGTTTTGGATTTTAAGTTGAACATATACTGATGTACAACTTGCTTCACCTATTTTTACTAATTTTCTTCAGTTTACTGTATTTCTGCTAAATTTAAGAAGTTTTTTATTTTTTTATGACTGGATATAGCTCTAGCCGAAAGCATTACATAAATTCTGCATCACGCTAATAGCCCTAAAATTTATTTTTTCATTTCTGTAACGAAAAGTGCTAGATGACTTAAAATTTAAAAATTTAAATTCAACTTTCTCCTCGAATACAGGACGGTGTCATTCAATACTTTGTACAAACATGGCTTCGATGGATCTCTTTGATTTGAAACCACTTCCACGACAATCGGATTTAGCTTCAGTTGGATATTTCCCTTGCGGCTAAATATTACCGTGCAAAAATTGTTTTTAGGGCTTTTAGAATTTCACTAAATTCTCAGCCAAGACGAGGAATAAATCTGATAAAAAAATATACCGTTCAATAGAGAATTGAATGCTCTATTTAGTCATATAAAAATAAAAAACTTCTTAAGTTTAGCAGAAATACAGTAAACTGAAGAAAATTAGTAAAAAATAAGTGAATCAAGCTGTAGAGGAAAGTCTGGGCTAGGAAATGAGACAACTCCCAATATTCCACAACCTCCCTTGAAACTGTTATGAATTTTTTAAGTTTTTCCTTGAAAACCTGAATAAACTGAATTTTGTAGTTTCATAAACTTTTCTCTCTTTTCCTGTACATTCAAAATGTTTTCTTATACAGAGTCTGATTGAAGAAAGTGTTCTCTTTACAATGAGACGTCTTCCAAAATGTTTCAATGATTTTTCGTGAAGATATAAGCGTCACTGCAAATCGCATAAAGAAAACGATATATGTACAAAATGTGTTTTTCTTACTGTGTTAACAGTCCCTTCAATCCAGTCATATTACGACCCCCCGATAACTTGATCTGATCAACTTCAAAACTTTATCATAAATATTAGACAACATTGCCCAGGTTTTTTTGCCAGGATCTTTTTTTCGTTCTATTATCTTTTCTTTTCGAGTTATAGGAATTTTAAAATTGAAAAACTTGGATTTTAATCATATTTTTCAGTGTTTTTTGCGTGGGGTCGTAATGAAACGCTACCAAAACGCAGGTTTTCTAGAAAACTAGAAAACCTTGATAACTAGAGAGTTGAAACAAAAATGAAAAGATGTTTAATTGAGTTTTCAATTAGTCCTTTAATGGAGACTTTGTCATTTTTAGTTTATGCTCCTACGGAAAGTTCCAAAAGAGGCAAGAGCCCTTAATACTGTTCACGCTACCAGAATCAAAAAAAGGCAAGAATCAACAATTTTTCGATTGGAAAAGCGTCAGCAACATGTCTCTGAGTAAAATCATCTATTTCGACATTGTTTTGTTCTCATTTCAACTTACTTCTTTACAATAATGGTTTGCATCACGTACCTACAATAAATAAGCCAATATTAGAGCATAAACATACAAAATCGCTCTTCTAAGTATTACCAAACTAGGCAAGATTGGACGAATATATTCTGTATCTTTTGGAATGAATCCTCCTTTGCTTTTGTTTGACACTGGAATAAATTGATGCATAGATTTAATCAATTAGACGTACAAAGTGTAGGCTCAACAAACCTGGCATAGCTGATAACCAGATCAGTAAAGCATCCGGCATTAAATGTCGAAGTTTTCTCAATAATATAATAAAATTATCTTTATACACTGCCATCGACTGTCTACCATAACTGAGCAGATAGATAAACGATTTTCAAATGATTTATCTGTCGAAAAAAAGTTCAGTTTATCTATACCGGCTTATATCCCATACACACATGTTCATAATAACAATATCCGGTTTAATTACATTTTCTTTAATTTGTTTCAGCACAATATTTTTAACGTAATACGAATAGGCTCGAGTAAGAAAATAAAAACGAAGACGATGTTGACCATTGGCTGTAAATTCTCGTACCTAAAATTTAGACAAATAACAGATGTAGCATCAATACAGAAGTGTACTATTGTACACTAATAATATTTCAAAAACTCTACATCACTTTATAAAGTCTAATGAGTACAAACAATTCTTTTTTTCACCTCCGTATATCGGGTGCCATTGTGCAATCCAGTAATTTCGCCACCTTCTAATAACTGATCATTCTGAAAATTATGTTCACCCTAGAATAGTCAATTATTTGGTCTTCCAAATACATATGCTAAGAATCTGAAGTCATAATACTTTTTTCTTTAAATCATCTTCGTTAAGTAAAAAATCAGACTGTAAAAATCGAACTAAATCTTTATATACACCACGTATAACTAAAAGATAAAAAAGAGATAGAAAAGTCATTATTATTTGAGAAGAACGCAATGTTCTTGACGGAGGAGACGAGAATACACGATACGTCAGAACAAAATAGGGCCCCATCACATACAAGCGTATAATAAACTAACAGTTCATTCATCAATATTGATTGATAAGGGATTCTCAGGGATGCTTTGCAAATGTTCAAATTGTCATAATTTTCGCACTCACTTGTAAAAACAAGAATAAAAACGAAAAGTAGTGTACCTGAATCACCCAAGAATAAAACAGATTTGTCTTTCAGCAATAGTTTAACTTCTTGTGATGATAACGCATCCTAAAAATAAAAAGTGAAATAAATTATTTCTAATATCTTAGATTTAATATTTACTTTCAGTATTTGCAAAAAATTCACACAATGTTTCAATCTTTTACCTCTGTCGATGTCATCATTTTTCAAACGTAACTAAACTTCTTCAAAATTAGGTAAGTAAATAATATTTTATAAATAAGATACGATTACAGATCATTTCAAGAAAAAAGTTTATCTGAAAATATAAAAAATGTGAAAAATTCGTGTATGTCTCTTCTACCAGTCGAAGTTGTCATTTCAACACTAAGTTTAAAATAGAATTGGTACGATCTTTGTCGAAACGGATGACTGAGCTTAAATAATGAACATACATCTTCAGTTTTCTTTTTTATCTACTCAAATATAGTATTTTTAAAGGAAAAACAAACCAGAAAGAAGAAAAATGTACGATTAGTGTATATAAATGATCGATTATAAAATATACATAAGATAAAGATAAAATAAAAAACAGAACTACAACAGAATATTTGACTAATGTATATAATCAATCGAAGGTGACTGATGATGTTCACGTCTTATTTTAATGATGCTAGTCAAAAGAAAAAAAAAATGACTAGAGGGAACCATAATGAAACGTTAGTAATCGAAACTCTACAAACACCATAGTAACATTTAATAGGTGGGAAACATCTTAAGCAAAAACATGCTATATTTTTGTTTACTGAATAATTTTTTAGTTAGAAATAGATATTTGTACGATCAGCTCATGTTCGACATGATTCCATTCTTAGTCTCTGATCAAGAGAAAAATTCTTTTTTAAATGAAGTAAGTTTTGTACGAGATAATTTTTGGAATAATTTGACCTTCAGAATCCGACAGTTCAAAACAGATAAGCCTCGCCTCGGATCTGAGATTTTTTTTTATTATACTGAAGAGAAAATACTGAATGAAATGTCTTGTATTTTTTTTATTCAGATTTTGCTGTTTTGGGTATTCCGGTAGTAAAGCTCAACAATAAGAAAGTAAAATATAATCGATGATTTTCTTAGAATGTATTTCTTAAATTCTATATTACAGGTTAGACTGAACTGGCATATGAAAAAATGTAGCGGTTATATTAGGTTAAGACTAAAACCTTTCAGATTAGGGTAGTTTATACAGTGTCTGAATAAGTATTCTGACAATGATAGAAAAATTTTGTTTCTTTGTTTGTATTTAAACAAAAGAACGTTTAAATATAGCAACGAGCAAATTTTAGGTCACGTGTTAAAAACGTACAGTTCTATACGACTAACTTCAAAGAAGCACATCGTTCTTTTTTCACAGAAAAATTTCTTTTTTCTTTTCCAGCCATTTCTGATTCAATGAGAATGCTGTGCAGCTTCTATAAATTTAGTCATGCAGAACTATGAAATCAGAGATGGACAACTCCAACTCCGGAGTTGAGCTTCTTTCTAGTGGAGTTGGAGTTGACTTGGAATTGCGTTTTTGTTAGGGTTGAGTTGATTTAAGATTTTTTCATCTCAAATTTCACAACTCCAGTTAAAAATTTGCATTTCACTGCTTTCTGCAGTGATCACATTAGAGTTGATCGAAACAAGTCTCTCATTTTTCCTTTCCCATGTCTATTTCTTTTGTATTATTCTTTTATCATCTGTTCTCCTTCTTCTGCAGAATTACCTATTCTCTGTGAATCGACGTTATGGAAGAATGATCTGGAAGAAATACACAGAAAAGAAAACGAAACCTTATGTCGACGCACTGGATTATTCTTCCTTACTTATCCACACCGTGTGTTGTTATAATCACTGATATCTCTGTAAAATTAGAAAATACTTCAAATGGCAACATGTAGCCCATCTGGTTCAAAATAAAAAGTTCCTGTCGAACCTGACACGGTGTTGGAGTTAGTGGAGTTGGAGTCGAACTTAGCCTGAGTTGCCCATCTCTGCCTGAAATAGCTTATTTTGTTTAGAATGTTGTGTTCTCTTAATGCACCTTAATGAAAAATTCTAAGCAAGAATTAAGTGGTTGAACTAGGGCTGTGACAGTTACCAGTTACTGTTACCATCGTTCCCCGTTACTAACGGTAACTATAATTGACATAAAACTAATAAGCATCGTTCCTCCTTAGTAGAGGTAATGGTAATTGATATACAGTAAGAAATCCTTTACCCTCCAGTAACGAGG